TAACACTACACCTCCCTCTAGTCTACAACAATGTTTAATCGCTAGTACATATATATTACAGTGTACATATTCTTCATTATTCCTCTATTCATTAACATTACGTCTCGTTGGAGTTTAATAGCGTCAAAAAGGTTTTAAAATGTAAACATTTCTTACCACTGAACTGAAGCCATGTTCAATCAGTGTCATGTGATGCCGTAGTGTTCGAGATAAGAGTCTTCTGTCATAATAAAAGTCACCACGTACTCAAAGTTATTTATCTGTATGAAGCTTACATGTACATTTCAAAGATAATAATAATAATAATAATAATAAGATAATAAAGAATAATAATAATAACAAGAACATACAGCACACTGCACAGATACATCACGTCTACTTTGTGTGCAGATATTTTAGAACATTTTCTCATCTGCAAAATGTCTCTAAAATGTTTCCTGACAGATGTTAAATAAACGCTTAGGACATTTCTTTAAAATGTTCATTATAAGTAAATCTGCTTTCATTAAATCAAAATTGACAATTCTTGTATTGCCGTATTATTTATCCATGCACATCATAATTTTATAATTTATTAAAAGTGTCCTCATGTTTAATCAAAATAACTTTTCTGTTGACGTGTTTACTGGCATGAGGGCGGGACAACCTGTCACTCACTCATCACAGCAATAGCAAACCACAACAACCCAATGATCCAATTAATTCCTAATGAACAAAATCAAAGTCCCGCCCTACATTTCTCCTTCTTCGACACTTACACGTCACAATATTACAATAAAGGAAGAACCTCTGTTTCATGCAAACTTTAAAGAGGACTTTATGTGGAAAGCTTTTATTGTTTACAATCATCTTTTAACAGATATTTTGGAGATGTAAGTTACTTGTGCTCAGGTTTAAACCTCAAGCATCCTTCCTAAGAGATCTCATGCCTGAATGTCTATCTGCTTGTTAAGTCTTAAATAAAAAAATAAAATAAAATAAAAAATTCATTTAAGGCAGAAACAATGAGCTCATTGAAGTAATGAATACATGTTGTTAACAAATGTTTAGGATATATAGAAAATGTTGCATTGGTCCATATTGTTTTAGAGTTTGCTTCATTTGAAGTCCTTGCAGGAGTTGGAGTCCTCTTGAGGCATCTCTTCACAGGTGTTGGGGCATCTGAAGTCTGGAACAATGGAAGAATTTATTGAAAAGTACATTTCTATGTGGAACAACAGCAAATCCTCAGCCTGTCTAAGTGAAGCAAAGCTTTAAGATTTGTATCTTTTAGCTTTGAAGCGTACTGGTGATGTGCGCTTTCGAATCATGCTTAGTGAAGCTTTGAAACTTTTGCGAATGGTTTGCTTGGAACCGGTGATTCGGAGGCGAGCACGTATCAAAAGTCCCATGATTTCAGTAAACAAGGCTTCATTACGTCTTGAAGTCTTGAAACATTTCGAAATATATCAAAATTTCAAGGGTTAACTACTAGGGGCCCATCTCTGTGAACCAATGAACCAGTGTCTATATTTTTTTCTGATCTCGGATAAATTTGATAAAATATAACATATTATAAAGAGACTAGATATTTAATATTTAATTAGATAATTTGTTAATTTAATTTAATAGATTGCACCTTCAATAAAACATTTGCAATTGGTTTGTAAAAGGTGATTTTATGCATGTTTGAGCTGCATGTACACTGTTCTGACCAGCAGGCGTCAGCAGCGTGTGGATTTTCAAGCACTTTGAAGCACACTAGACGCTCCTGACACAACCTTAGGTGTAAGTAACAAAGGTTAGTTGTTGTGGGAAGGAGGCGGGAACTGGCGAACGTTCAACGGCGGTTTTATAAGACGGCATCCTTAGATCAAAAGATTCTAGTGGCTTAAATGAAGGTTCACACATAGCCTCCTAAACGACAATCAGGTCCCATGACGGCGCCACTGATTTTGTATCGGCCTAAGAAGCTGAGCCCCTTTAAGGAATCGAATGGCAAGAAGGTGTGCCCTCACAAGCCGAAATGGACACCAAATACACTTTCAACGTGGAATGGGAGCAACCTTCCTCCAACAATTCCTGCAAAAAAGTCAGTATCCCGGGAATTGGGCACTGATACGGGGATAAAGACCTTCGCCTGCACCAAGCTCCAAATATGCGCTACGCATAAAGCCCCCTTGTCGATGGTGCCCTATCACTCTGTATTCTTACACGCTATGTACACGCTGCTGTAAGATTCTCCCTCTCAGCGGGTAGGCCCGAAACCACAACTCCGGCTGAGGGACAGCAGGTCCCTGCATAGGGGAAGACACCATGGTGTCCCTGACTGCAATGTCATGATGTTTGCTGGTCAGCGAACACATGATACGCACATGAGGGCGGACCCTTCTTTCCCGACTCACTTATTGTTTAGGCAGTCTGTGTGTTGGCCCGGGTCCCCAAGCACTGGGCTTATGAATGTGGTGTTTATGGTTTTCTGGTAGCACGGCTTAGAGCTGAAGAATGAGGGAAACTGTGCATGCGACCATATTTGTGGGCAGGTAGGACCCCCCACGACAGCATGCGTCATTGGCCTTTCACCCGTGAATAAATGGCTGCATCCGAAAACCTAGCCAGGTGAATTGTTGCCTTGTCGGGCAATGACTTACCAGGCATTGTTTATGCATGAAGATACCTCACAAAACTGATTTCAGACAGACTTCTGAGGCAGCATAACGATTTAATGATCGATAACAAAACAGAGAGAGCTGTGACAACCAATTGAATATTTAATTACTACAATACTAACTTCTCGCTAGAAATGTCATCAAACGTGGGAAAAGTTGGTCAAAATGTACACTTTACACACAAACTCAACTGACCACCAACCTCAAATTTCAGACGCCATCTTTATTTTTTTTTAGCTCAACAGTCAGGAAATGGAACACACAGGATTGTGGGATATCAAAGGCAGCGAAGGATCCATCTATGCTTCCTTCAAAAATCGATCAGATGAAGGTATCTCAGGAGACAAGATGTGGCACGATCGTTGGATTTGGACGTGCCTTGTTACCTTCGTATCCTGCCTGCGGAGGCAGCATTTTTCAATTTTCAGACGCAGCCAGTTGTCTTCAGCAAATGCCGCGTTGTACCGAGTGAACTGACTGAATGGGATTGCCTTTTGGGGGGGACTAAATCAGCTCCTACTTAAAGGGATACTCCACTTTTTTTGGAAATAGGCTCATTTTACAACTCCCCCAGAGTTAAACTGTTGAGTTTTACCGTTTTTGAATCCATTCAGCTGATCTCCGGTTCTGGCGGTACCACTTTTAGCATAGCTTAGCATACATCATTGAAGTGGACAAGACCATTAGCATTTCTCATTAAAAAATGACCAAAGTGTTTCGATATTTTTCCTATTTATAACTTGACTCTTCTGTAGTTACATCGTGGACTAAGACCGACGGAAAATGTAAAGTTGCGATTTTCTAGGCTGATATGGCTAGGAACTATACTCTCATTCCTGCGTAATAATCAAGAAACTTTACTGCCATACCGTGAGAGCAGCAGGCGTAATGATATGACGCAGCGCCTGAAAATAGTTCCGTTGTGTTGACGGAAGGTGGCCTATTTTCAGGCGCTGCGTCATATCATTACCTGCTGCACTCATGGTACGGCAGTAAAGTTTCTGATTACAACGCAGGAATGAGAGTATAGTTCCTAGCCATATCAGCCTAGAAAATCGCAACTTTACATTTTCCGTCGGTCTTAGTGCACGATGTAACTACAGAAGAGTCAAGTTTTAAATAGGAAAAATATCAAAACACTTTGGTCATTTTTTAATGAGAAATGCTAATGGTCTTGTCCACTTCAATGATGTATGCTAAGCTATGCTAAAAGTGGTACCGTCAGAACGAGAGATCGGCTGAATGGATTCAAAAACGGTAAAACTCAACAGTTTAACTCTGGGGGAGTTGTAAAATGAGCCTATTTCCAAAAAAAGTGGAGTATCCCTTTAAGAGAAGGGTCGAACCCAGCACAATATTAGAAACTGCCAGTAATTTAAGAAGGCATTCACCATTTTTAAAATGCAGTGTAAACACACAGATTATAGTCTATATATTTACTCCATAAATGTTGCCTATATATTTACTCCAAGAACATGGAACGATAGATAGACTGAAGCAGAAGTCCAGGCACTTCTCAACCTTTACGCTAAAAAGGAAATCCAACATGTAACGTTATTTGAAGGAAACAAGTGAAACATGATTCTGTATTTCTGCTCAGCTAGCGACATTGGACATCAACCACACGGCAAATGCTGTAACACTTTTTCGTATACCGTTTAATTTCTTTGTATTAGAGTTCTAATAACGTAATAGATAGAAATGTTAAATAGATCATTTAAACTAATGAAGATGGAGAATGGGAAGTGTCGAGTGCTCAGGCTCTCGCATTCTCAGAGCCGTCAAAACAAAAGTCCACCGCGCCATCAAAATAAAAGTCCTGCACAACAACCAGAGCAGCAGGACGTACAGCACTTACGTCACTTCAGAGTTCCAACTGGCGGTGCAAATTCAACCAGGAAAATGCCCCTAGTGAAAAATGTATTTCTCAGGGGACTGCCCTGGTGGCTAGTTCCTATAACTGAGGTCCTATAACTAACCGGTGCAAAAGTCCGATGGTTGTGTACTTCTTTTTGTCCAATGAAATGCTCTCTAGAATGAAGGCCCCAAATATACTTCAAGCAAAGTTGAAAATTTAAAGAACGAACTGGCGTGGCATAATTTCAAACAAATTCTGGCCAAAAGTGTTTTTGTAGTCGGCGCAAACTTTTTGGAAACCTTTAATATTATATACATTTTTTGACATGGAAATCTTTTTAGGTTCATTTGTTTACTCAGTTCGACAAGCCCAGACACACACACAAAAAAAAAACAGTAGGCTATACTACTGCATAACTTTTTACGGTAGAACTCCTGTTTACCCCTGAGTGAAAAAACGAAGAACAACTTTGCAGAGAACTTTGAGAAATCTCATTGATGCAAGAACCTTTTCGGTAATTTATTTCTGAAATGTTAAGCAAAACACAGAGTAATAAAATATGGTCTGAAATGAATCCTTGAGGTATCTGCTAGTAGCTTAAAGACAAGAGCAAGAAGAACACATTACACAAATTGTTTGTTGCGACCATTTTTATATCTTCTGTGCACAATTTTGTGAGTGAAATTTAACAATCTTTTCAATGTTTTTTTTTCTCCATGAAAAACATCATCATCAGTTTGAAATAAAACCATTCACTCTTTGCCCTTTCATAGGCATAAAGAGGAAAAAGTGAGGAAATACATTTGCATCTTTACATCAAGTCCATGTTTCATTCAGTTCTCAATCACAATCATTCCATGTCTTCTCTCTATATATTTATATATATTTTTTTTTTAGTTTGTAGGAAATCAGTCTCTGGTCTCTGAAACAGAAGTCCCAGGCCATAAGAATAGGAAACAGAAGAAAAGGTCCTTTAATTCCTTCTATACGTTTGTCCATTCATTCTTGCACTTTTTTGTCTTCACTCTCCAGTGGTCTTCCTCCCTTCATCCAAAGGGAAATTGAGGAGGAATACAATCACAGTCTGATCTGAAGAAAGAAAACAACAAAATTCCGGCGACACACCTTTGATTCCCCCTTTAGTCTCTGAGGAACACGGGCAGAGGGGCGGCAATATGAGCGCGTGCTTTTGAACGTTTCTGCTGTCGTGTCGCGGAGGGCACACAGTAGTCGATAAGTGGCTGACGATGACGGCAATGATGGTTGTCATGGCGACTGCGTGGGTGGGCTGCTTTGAGCGGAGCTTGGAGAAAGGGAGGGGCTACAACTGCCTGGAGGGGCGCCGGCGGCCCGTGAACTGACCCCGCCTGAGGAACTCTCCAAACCCTCAGAGTTCTCCAACATCTCCTGAATGAGAGGAGGCATGGAGCCAGGAATCTCCATCTTCAGGGTGATCACACGCTCTGCCCCTGAGAGAGATGCAAAATGTATTTAGTTTTCAAGTAGTCACACATGTGTTTTTCTTATAGTCTAGGAAAACAAAAGAGTAGGATTATGCGAGTGGATTTGACTCACCCTTGGCACTGATGCTCCTCAGGTCGGTAATCTTCATCAGCATCTTAGGAAACATGTGAGGTTTGTGCGGCCTCCTGTTCCTCACGTAGTTCTTCAGTGCTTCCAGAAGCGGTTCCTGCAGAACATCCACCTTATCGGCTTCTTCCAGGTCCTGCCGATCTGCACAAACCATTCATATTCAGCTCACAGACTTGTGGTATGAGAGCTTATATCACAAATTCAGCAAATATTGGAGATGGTGAATCTCATGAAACCTGGGAAAAATGTTCAGGGCTGCGTTTCCCAAAAGCATCGAAATCCGAAGTAGGTCATAGAACAATTGATACCAATGGTTTCTAAGATCAACTTAGCTCACGAGGCTTTTGGGAAACGCAGCCCAGGTCACTTTCATCCCAATATCAAAAGAAAAAAAACTGCCTAATGCCGTTTGATTTTTTGCACTGTGACATTATCTATATAGCACTCAATAGCATTTTATCCAACAAACATTAATAAAAAATCAAAAAAATCAAAACAACAACAAAAAATCCTAGAAAATATTATTATGAAAGAATATACATTATATGATACCTTTATGCTTTTATTTTATTGGAATAGCGAAATATCTATAAAATCTTTTTAGTATGTATTTTACAGCCTATAATTATGATCATTTTAAGAGAAAAATATTTTTACTGTAAAAATAAATTGAAAAATTTTACAATTAATATTTTAAAATATTATGTAAAAATATATATTGTATACTACTGTTATATATTATTTAAAGTATTTATATACTCTTAGTGTTATTGTAAAGCCTTTAATGATGAATATTTTAGTGTAAAACATTCTTTACTTTAAATGAATACATTTAAATGGAACAAATTTTCTTAACGCAAAATACCATTTCGGTAACACTTTACTTAAAGCCTTTATGCGTAATGCATTAAAAATGTATTCATAATGTATTTTTTATAAACAATTGTAACCAAAGTTAAAATGCATTATATTTGCAGATTCCTTGATACATCTGAAATTGGATTAAACATGCATTATAAATGTATTTATAATTTATGTCATTATAAATGTATTTATTTGTTGTATTCATTATAAATGTATGTATTTATAAATTGGATTATCGTAATGCATTATAAATTTATTCATAATGTATTTTTCATAAACAATTGTAACCAAAGTTAAAATGCATTATATTTGCAGATTTCTTGTTACATCTGAAATTGTTTGTTTGTCATGTGTTTTAATGCATTAAACTTTCTAAAGGTGTGTTCAATGAATAGATTAGTATTATAATGTATAATAACTGTGGTAACAAATATCCATGAGACCATGCAATGCATTATAAGGTGCATTACAAGGCATAATTAATGCATTCAAAATACGTTTATAATGCCTTATATATAAAGTTTCTAGTTAAATATGACCCGGACATGTTTACATGAGATTCACCCTTTTAAACAACCTCATTTCTTTTTTCATACACAGTATTTCTCTGAACAACATGAGTGCAATACCACCATCACACACTGCGTTGCACTAGAGGTCCATGTATCAAAAGACATGAGACACTTGGTATGTTTGGAATAGCCAATGAATATATATATATATATATATATACAGTATATATAAATGATCAAAAAGACCTATTATATATTTGTCAAACTAGAACAACCATACTACTGTTTTAAATATGTATAATTGTAGGTCTACTGTTTAAAAAAAGGTATACAGTATTTAGTGTACCCTTATCTAAGATCACTGATATTAAAACACAATTATATGTAAAAATAACAGTCTATTTAACAGGTGTAAAACTGTAAGTCAGAATACAGTGTGTGTGTACCTCCACACAGCAGGCATATAGCACTGAGCAGTCCCGTCTCGGCGTCATCCATCTCCAGCGGTATCAGCTGACTGGCGAAGGCGAACACCAGGTCTGTTAGCGGACCGAAGCCAGCGTTGTGCATCTGCGTTCGGTTCAGCGTTAACCCGTCAGAGAAAGTCATGGTGTCTTGCTCAGGCGTGTAGCGGGTACAGATCCTCAAAATCTAAAAGCAGTGAAACAGAGAGGAGACGTGTTGGACTTAACTCTGCATATTAAACTGGGATGAGAGACATTCTACAGTGGTGGATAGTGGAGAAAATTCATGGATCAACCTTTGAGAAAAAAGTAGTGCACTTTAGCATACTTTTCAAAAGAGTACTTATTATGGAAATAAATCAGATACTTTAAACGAATATACTTATTTGTGAACTGAATGTAATGTTTTCAGACACTTAATTGCATGTTATTTACAATAAGCCACTACCAGAACAATAAACTATTATAGTTTTTAAATTTATATTAGGCCTACATGCAGTTAGTTGAACTCTAGAGTTCTTTTACAATAATATGAACTTTAAAGTAAAGCTTTTGATAGATTAAGTGTGTTAATAAGCAGTCACGTAAGCATACTCTTTTAAAGGGGTCATGAACTGGCTTTTTAAATTGTTTTATATTGTTGTCTGAGATCAACTTATGACGTTCGCTTGGTTTTTACATTCAAAAACATCAAAATGAATAAGTAATAGGCTATTTTCTACCCTAGTTTTGATCCTAGCTCAAAAACGCTCGGTTTTTATGGGCGTCTCGCATTGAAGACTTGGAAGTAAACGCCCACTGCTGTGAGTGGATAACAGTTTTGCATATTATAATGAGTTTCGTGTAATGCGCAAATCGGTGGGCGGGGCTAAACCGGCCGTGTTGAAGTAGGCGTTGATCTTCTTCTGCGGGGGTGGTGTTTTATCCTCTTTGTCGTCATAGTTCCCCACTTTGAAAAACGAGTCGTTTGCTGAGCCTGGTGTCAATACAAGCTTTTATTGGACTAACAAGGACGTTTTCAGTTCTGAAACTTACAGGATATTCTTATAATTTGATGACCTCTTAGATGTCAAAAGCTCAAGGAAAATTTGATTTCTCAGTTCATCACCCCGTACATTTTGATAATATTATATTATCTGCAAGCATTGTTTGTTACTCTAGTAAAAGTTACTCTAAAAAAGGCATTAATTCCATCTTCAACAGTGTAATTAGATTACTGTACTAGATACTCTCAGTAAAAAGTATTGCATTACTTACTAATTACTTCCCAAATCCCATATCAACCTCGACCAGTTGAACAATACAAGAATAGATATAAAACTGCAATTTTAATTATTTCAAATAAATAATATAAAAATGCCTTAATTATCCTTGAACTGACCAAAGTATTTAAAGGGAGAAGGTTACATCAAAATGTAATGTCTAATGTTAAAATGTATGTTTTTAATGTTAAATCCACTATTGTTTTATACAGAATTGTTCTATAGTCTAATACAGTATTGCAATGACATCAGAAGTAACAGAAAATGTAAGAATAATCCCTTACTTTTTTTTTTTTCCAAGGGAATTGCTGTAAATAATTACTTAGTTTTGCATTACAAGTACAGTATTTGAAAGATTTGAACATTTACAAATATATTCCAATTTAAAGTACACTACAAGTGTGCATTCAATACAACAAAGCACACTTCTTTTTCACAAGGAAATGCTTGTGGGCTTTGAACCTAAAACCTTCAATGACTCAAATGTGACCCTCAGTCTATATTCAGGCTTCAGCGGTGTCATGTAACCCGCAGTAACTCCCGCACCACTGCAGGCTTTGTGAGTTTGGGACTCGTTCTCACCAGTATGTCGAGGCAAGCAGCCTTCAGCAGTGTGATCTGGTCTGCGATGGTGAGGGTGGTGAATCCCGGCAGCTGTTTGGCGAACTCCACCGTCTTTATGATGCACTTTGTGGAGAGCTCGCTGAACTTATCCCACAGATCCACGTCCAGTGCCACGCGCCGCTCGGAGCTGTTACTCTATACACAGACGGGGACAAAATTCAGGTAGACTAGAATGCTATGATAAATGTTTAATAGCAGCATCAATAATGGCTGAAAGTCTGGCACGTGAAATCTGGCCATTAGCTTTGGTGAGGTCTGCTTGTAAACACAGGAGCAGAATCAGCACAGAGTTCTGGGAGTTATTGACAAACTCAGACACATATCTGTAGTTACAGCATTGATCCATCCGTCAGTGTCCGCTCATTAGTTAAAAAAAACCAACACAAAGTCAAAACAATGAGGTCATAGCCTCACCGATGAAGATTTTATCGGGTTGTTGTGAAGTAGTCAAACAGCCACGGTGCATGTAATCCAATGATTTTACTAGGGTTATATTTATCATGCTTTCAATGCATTTCTTAGGATATTGCTTATTTTTTAGGGCTGTCAAACGATTAATCGCGATTAATCGCATCCAAAATAAAAGTTTGTGTTTACATAATATATGTGTGTGTACTGTGTATAATTATTTTTAATACATAAATACCCACACATGCATGTGTATTTAAGAAATATTTGCATGTATATACTGTATATAGACTGAATGTAGCCTATATATAATGTATATTTTATATAAATATAAACATTTTATATATAAATAACATATTTTTTCTTAAATATATACATGTGTGCATTTATATACAAAATAATTATACACAGTACACACACATATATTATGTAAACACAAACTTTTATTTTGGATGCGATTAATCGTGATTAATCGTTTGACAGCCCTATTATTTATATTAATCAAAAGAACCATAATTTCAACTAGAGCTGCAAGATTGATCCTCAAAAGATCTCAATTTTGATGCAATCTTATTCCTAAACGACAATGATTCGCCTGTGTCTAACAAAACTTTGATAAGAATCTACAATCACAGCGAACATTCAAATCTGTGTTGGCACGGCCACTGAGCCAGACATGTATAGGTATGAAACGGCTTCACAGCCACACAGTATCATTATTTCTGTTACATTCATTCAAATGATCACAGACTTACTGGGATAAAAGTTAATATGTTCGGGCCTCACTCACACACTCTTACCGTGGTGTATTTGCCGAGTTGACACAGCGAGGGGAAGGTCTCTTTGTGGGCTTTCCTGACTCTGTCAATCATCTGCTCTGTGTCTGGGCTCAGCGTGTAGCTCTCTGTGCATTCTTGCTTTTTATCTTCTTTCTTCTTCTTATTCCTGTCGTTCCTTACCGCTGCACAGACAGAAAGACAACAAAGATCAGTGCTGCTGACGGTCCAGATTCCTGAATGGCTTGGCCAAGTGAAAATCCACCAAGCTGTTATAAAATGAATACAAGTTATAATTGTATGAGCTGCTTTTGAAGCTGTTGTAATATAGCTAGTATATGGACAGCTGTTACAATGCAATAGTTGAATTATGTAGTCAAGCAGCACATCTAAACAACCTACTGTTAGACTAATGAACTATAAAAGGGAATCAAAATTAATGCATGATTGTTCATATTGTGCATGATTCATCAGTGCACATTTTCGCCAAAATAAATAAAATAAATAAATAAAGGCTGTCCTCCTCCTCTTTCTACTTATTCTTATTCTTCATAGTAATAATAATATGCAGCATGCAATAATATTGTTATACAAAATGTTAATTTCTTACAAAATACAATTGTTTCAGAGTAGATGACATTCAAAGATGTAGATCATAATGTACTAATAAGAATTAGTAACCTAATATCTAAAATCTAAGAATAATAATTAAAAAAGTTAAATAGAATATTTAAATTAATATATTTTTAACTAAATAGAATATTTTTTTTATCAAATTATAATAACTTCTTAATGATAATAATAATACGTATTATTATTATTATTAATAAGTTATTAGCAGTTGATAGTATAATTAAAACAATAAAAATATCTTAATTATATTTGCATTATTCTTTACAACTTTTTAAAATTAAATCTCTCTTTGTTGTTGTTATTAATATTATTATATAATTATTTATTTAACATTGGTGCCTTTTATAATATTAAAAACATTCAATTCAATATGCATTATTATTATTATTCAAATATTAGCATTTCATGATTTTTTATTTTTATTTTTCTATTTAACTTTTTAAAAGGTATTATTATTATGATTGTATTATTATTTATTGAACATTGATATCTTTTACAATATTAAAAACATTCAATCCAATTTGAACAAATTCCATCATCAAGTTTGCTATCACAGTGAGATATGTGGCCGTGTCATTTCAGTATGTAATGAAGTGGGCAGAAGAGAAAAGTTCTCAAGAAGACAGATAGGAAAGAATGAGGGATGAAAAGGCCAAGAAAAAGAGAGAAAACTTGCATGAGTAGCAGAGAAAGGCCGTTTGAGATGCAGTGAGCAGCAGTAATGGAGTGAGATGAGACAGACAGATAGAGGAAATGTGTTAGAGCCAACACATCACATCTGTGAAGACAAACCATGAGGGGAGGAAAGGCGAGAAAAAAAGGTGTTATGCAGAAAAAATAGGACAAGAATCAGAAATGCCATCACACCCCCACCATCAGTACCATCTCAAACACTCTCTCTCTCTCTCTCTCTCTCTCTCTTGCTCTCTCTCTCTCTCTCTCTCTCTCTCTCTCTCTGCGGGGTGTGTGTTTGTAGTTTGATGAATAGAGCAGGTGGATGAAGTCGTACATAATGCTGATAGATCACCACAGGTTTCATTAGACCCAGAGCTAATCTAATCTCATTATATGACACACACACACACACACACACACACACACTGTAATGCCATGGCATTATTTTCTCTCCAATCTCTGCTAGCGCTCGGACCCTCGCTGCATCCCTCTCTCGGGCCTCTGGAGATGCGGAATTAATTCCTAAATAAAAGTGGGCTATCTTAACGTGCCTACATTAGCCCCAATGACAGATTGGCACAGCGATCATAAGCCGCAAAACACAATTTAATGAAGTCATTAAAGAACTATTAGCCTGCCTTTGCCATCACTCACGCACAAGCATTACTGAGAGATCTGCAGAGAGAGAGAGAGAGAGAGAGAGAGAGAGAGAGAGAGAGAGAGAGAGAGAGAGATCGGGAAACAGGTCTTTCTCCAGCAGTATGATGAGTATTTTGTGTGTGTCTGCAAAGGTGATTTTTACACACCGGAATATCTGACGATATGGCCAGAAATATGCTGACGAACAGAAACATGGCCAGACACGTGATCTAAGCAAGTACACAAACGCCAGCTGCACAGTTCTGTTATATATACTTAACACTCTGGCGGTAACAAACCCATGGGGCTAATAGAGTATGCATGGTTATTAAAACTGATGTAAGTAGCTTGAGTTGCACTATGAACAGTGCTTTGACACATTTCAGACTAAAACAATGTATGAAATTGAACTTGAGTGGCTACGGTCAAGCACTTGCATAGTCTTTAGGCCCTGTGTATTGTGATAAAATCGCCGCTGGAAAGAATACACGCACAAACATGGCTGATAGGGGTGGACATATCAGTTCTGAGAACTAATTAATTAGGATTCTTTGCTAAATGATACACTGTAAAAAATATCGTGATTTTAACGGTAAAAGACCGTAAGAATGTTAAAGTGAAAAACTGTTAATTGGTTAACAGAAGGTTTCAGTACTATATATGGTGAATAACTGTGATAGATCTAACCGTTCATTTAATGTAATTTTACAGTAAAATACCATTAAATTTACAGTATTTGAACAAGAACAAGTCATTGTAATTTACAGTGGAAAAATGTAAATTGACATTCCAACAATTCCCTGCATGACACTTCACATTTGATGTATTTTTGTTGAAATAACTGTTTCTTCATAGTTTTTCTTAGTTTTTTTCTAATCAGTTATGTACATTATGGTTTTATGTTACATTTAATGTTGTTATATTAATGTTTATTGCATTTTTAAAATGTCACGTGTGTTACCATGATGGTGTTTAATGTTAGTGTGAATGACACTGTGCAGCTTCTATATATATTACTATTAACTTTCTTGTGGAAGAGCTGCTTGTGATGTGCTTTGATTCATCATGTGACTCTTATCACCACTGTGATTGGTGGTTGTCAGTGTGTTACAGTGGTACAAAACAGATATTAGAATAAGTCGTAAAATTAACATGGTATCAGATAATGAAATACGTTTTTTTACTGTAAATTTAAGTTAAGTCTTAAGTAAAACCTAAAATGTTGCTACCGTATTTTTTTATGGTAGATTTCTGGCAACTACAGCTGCCGTTTTTTTTACCGTAAATTTAACAGATTTCTTTCTACAGTGTACAATTCGACATGAAATCATGATTCAAATCAAAATGTTTGGTACGATTCATTGTCATTTTCAAAATATGCCGATGATTTCAGCGATGCAGAAAATGCGGATAACGATATGGACTAGTGTCTGTGAATATTATACCGCAAAAAGACGAATTTTAAAATACGAAGTCTGGTTGTTCTGCGTGTCTGTGTGAATGAGCGGCACAGTTTCATCTACTACACATTCTAAAGCATGGTTGACGATTAAGCGTTCCTACTTAAAGCATTAAAACATAATTTTAGTGAAAAATGAAAAGAATGAAAATGCAAATTCACTCCCTGACAGTAGGTGGCGCTTACTGGTGTGATCCTGGTACACAAAGCAGAGGAAATAAAGGAAGCAGAGATGTATCAACATATTATTTTCAAATACCAGTTTAACCTAAATCCAATCCTATTCAGATTTTTGTATTCCAATTAGAGCTGAAACGTCTTGTTGATTATGATGATGAGCTGAAACTGATGATTATGATGACGTAAATATGATAATTTGCACTAGAGAATTATGCCACATCAAATATTATGAGAGCCACACTGAACCATATAAATCAATCGCAATAAATGCTAATCATAAGGGGTTTTCTTCTGATATCCATTGTTGTTGGTAACACTTTATAATAAGTATAGTTTAATAAAGTATTTACAAATTTGAAAATAGTTAATTAATTAATAAACTTAGGTAATACATTAATAGACTATATACACATAGTGGTTTCTTCATTCATTGTCACTGTAATTAACAGTGTTATTGTTTAATTAGCTCATATATGTAAAGAGTTAGATAATGCTTTGTTAAAAACATATTAACTGTAAATAGTTATAACTTTAGATTAGGTTACGGAAAATTACATTAAGTGCTTAAAACCAACCTTTATTAGATATGAATTATTAATGAATTATTATAAAGTGTTAACAAAATGTTTATGGCTTCACATTTTCATGACAAACATTTGTCTTGGTGTGAACAGGCCTTAATGCCCACATATGTCTGTTTCAGGGTGTGTGTGAGTGTGTTGCATGAGGTTCTTGACAGGAATAATTTGAGAGGAGAAAATTAAAGCGCTGGCAGATCGTCCATCACAAAGATGAAATTCAATGAAAGGATAAAAATGTCAATGTTTCCTCCCTCCGCTCCCGCTCTCTCCACTCCTCCTTTTTCACAATCTCTACTCCTCCTCAGCAGCAGCAGCAAATGAGTTGTGAGTCTAATGCATTTGGAGCAGAGCGAAGCCAGCATGCTGTGCTGAAAATCAATGAGTGTGTGTGTGTGTGTGTTTTATTACAGATGTTTTGTGCGTTCAAATGTATGCAGGAAGTGAAGTGTGAAAGTGCCGCTGTGCGTCATTTTCTAAATGTACTGTGAGTCAAGAGGTGTGAATTCATAAGAACCCACTTTAATGAAACAAGTGTGGGTTGTCATTGTGACTGATTTAATGGGTCATCTGCACCCTCGCCATGATGCCTGCTGGAGGCCCGTGTGCTGGATCTGTCAGACTGGCCCATGCCATTAACCTCGACATGCACATGATCACTGAAAGAATTACATCAAAACCTGTCAAGAACAAATATCAGTCGCTAACTCATGAAGTGCACGTGCATTAAGATGTTTTGCATGACTGTGATGTCTCAATACTGTAATGCACAAAAATTAAAATAATACAAAAATTGCCGCAATGTCTATTTGTGTACTATTGTTTTTTTTTGTTTTTTCTCAATTTACAATAGTATATATTTTACCTCTATTTTGCTCAAATGGGCCGCAAATCAGAAAATGTTCTCTCCTTTTAAAACACTATATAACCGGTGTCCTGGTGCTCTGTATGGTCAGTGCACCCGTTCTATGAATTTATATTAGCCAATGTTGCCTTTCCATTTCCTTAATTTTTTTCCTTAAAGTTTTCTTGATTTTGTGTTATATTCTGTGATTGCACAATCACAAAATCCTAGAGGGAATGATAGAAATGTAATGAGAATTTTGGGCAAAACTGTAAACAAAAAATAAAGTCATAAATGTATGTAATATATAATTTCAAGTGATGTAAAATTATTAAACTCTTGAATTGAATGAATTAAATATTTATAGCACAGTCAAATTTACTAATTGCAATATAATATATATATATATATATATATATTATATATATATACACACATTATATTAACAAACTTTTAATTTAATTTAATTTAATTTAATTTAATTTAATTTAATTTAATTTAATTTAATTCTTTATTTTGCTTTTGGGGTTAAATGAGAGCCAGATATGTCACCTGGATATACACACACCCAATGATCAGATCTGACATGGTATTGGATTGTTCCTCTCCCTCTATAAAAACACACCATTTGTGTCTCTTTCCGCAGTGGAGACTCACGTCCACTTGATGGTGAGAGTGTGTTGGATCTGTCCGGATGATTTCTGAACAAACACACTGACACATTCCCAACTTTTGCTGCAGACCTGTGAGAGTGTGTGTATTTTCACACCTCTCTCAATTAACTTCTCAATCCTGACAGTGCCTAGCAGAGACGTGTGCTCGTGTAGCCAGAGGGAGGCATGATTATGATTATGTGTGTGTGTGTGTTTTGGCAAGATGTGTGATGCATCACTCACATTCTTTGGACATCCCCACTTCCAGGCACTTCTGCAGCCGGCAGTATTGACAGCGGTTGCGGGTGACTTTGTTGATGATGCAGTTCTTCTCTCTGTGGCACGTGTAGACCATGTTCTTCTGAATACTTCGCCTGAAGAAACCCTAAACACAAACAACACAATGAGGACAGAGACAGACCTCAAGAGATGCAAGAAAACCCCAGTCATGTGACAAAACAAATAGATTTTTACTTCCACATGGTGCTTCCTAGTACAAATCCCAGGGACAATCAAGTAAGGTGTTGTTGGTGTGTGTAAGGACATTGAATGTGGTTGCTAAAGTGTTTTGAGGGGTGATTGATTGGTTTTTAGAATGTTGCTTGATGACTAAAATCAAAAGGTCAAAAAGCCAACCCTTATGTCTCCTTCAGTTGATTGGAATTGTTGCCCTTTTTTATCCGCTTTTAGGCCAATTGTACAGATTTGAAGATATTTTAATGAATTATGAGAGATTTCTGTAGCTCTGTTGAAAGTCCATTCCAACAAAACTGTTAAGTGTCAAAAAGAGATTGTACAAGTAATCCATATACTTTAAGCGGTAGTCTCCTGAAAAAACACGATCGCTTTATGTCCACAGGCTTTTATTCACATCTAAACGCATTGATCAACACAACAAACACAGTAAACGGAAGCTCAAACGTGCTTGCTTTGGTAAACTAACCCAGAGTATACTTCAGTTTTGACGATTAGCGTAAGCCACAACCGAACGCATAGGCCTCCAAAGTAGGATGGTTGGTGTGCGGGAACAAAGGTGCTCGACATGCACAGCATACCAGACACTTCCATCCATGTTCAGTGTCTGAACTATTTCTTTCCAACTATTTCTATTTCTTTCCTGTCACTTGAAACTTACAGTAGCTATCTAGTATCTTTACCACATAAAAAGTTGAAATTATGAGTATAGCTTGACCAAGAAGTAGTTAGCCACACATCAAGTTACTAACAAGTTAATGTAGAAGTTGCTACACTAAGTTTCGGTCCTACTTTATTTTGACTAAATAAAGTAGTCTTTGACTACTGGGTACTTGGGTCAAAAAATTTATTGGTACAATATATGTATTGTGTTCATGTTGTATTTCAAAACACTTTTGCTGCCATTGAGGTGGGATACAGGTAAGGTTAGTTAAAGTCCCCCTGTGGTGAAAATAAAGCTTTTAATGTTGTTTATATGTCTATGTGGTGTTTTTTTAATATGCTTTAAGATAAACCATGTGCAAATGCCTAAGTGAAAATCAACGAGTGAATCTCTGAGCTGGTGCGAGTGAGTGGAGGCGGGGCTCATTTGCATATTCATAGAACCATACAATGTGAAGTATTTACTCTGGCTCTTGTTTTAATTTATTATGCTTGTTGTCACTTGTTGTCATCTGTTGACGTTGTTCAAGCAAAGTGTGTGGCGGTTGGTCAGTGTTGTATTTGTCCCGCCCCTCCTCCACTGTGATTGGATGGCTGGGTAAAAGGTGACAGTGCATTTTACCCAAAGATGAAATGACAAATTCTTCAACTCTCGGCGACCGGGGGAAAAAGGCTGAGAGCTTAGCGTTCAGCGTGGAATAGAAGCTCAGTGCCTCGTGACGCTGATGGCGTTTTAAAAACACGGCACTCCCATTGAAAACAATTGGAAAAATACGCTAGCCTCTGGGAAAAACGCTTTGGTGGACACATGGCCTTAAAGTGAGATATCAAAACGAACCACATCTTTCATTGTTCTTTAAAGTGATCACCCATCTGATATACCATCTGATATATTACTATAATGAATAGGATATGAGAGAAAGACATTATGGAACAGTGCCTTTGATTATTATTACTCTATCTTGCTTGGTTGTATGAATGTGTGTGAATTACAATGTGTATAAAAAATAAATATTTGTGTATATATATAAAAAAATATATTCAACAACTGTACTTTTTTGGGGGGGGGGGGGGGGGGGGGGGCTTACCAGAAAACGATTCAGCTGTTTTATTTTAAAAAATAAAGCTAAATAAGTACTTGCTAACCTTGGATCCAGCACATGTTGTGTGGGTGAATGAGAGTTGGCCGAGTCTCTCACCTTGCAGCCCTCACAGGCACTGACGCCATAGTGATACCCTGAAGATTTGTCCTGACACACAAAGCAGGGCTTATAGATGCGAGGAGGAGGGGGCGGAGAGGGTGGGCTCGGGACGATCTCCTCTGAACTCGTACTCTGGGTCTCGATTGCTGTGAAAGAGAGAGAGAGTTTATGGGTCAATGACTTGACATTGATATATTCATACAGACTGTGACGTTAATACACTTTTTCTATGATGAGCATCATGTTCATTTTTCTGAATTAAAATGTATTTAAATAATTTTTGTCAAGCATAGAATCAACATAATAAAACTTGACTCTATAGATTTTCAAAACCATATAAAACCAGAAATTCAATTCAAAGCATGCTGAATAAAGCAAACTGTCCTATTTATCTAGGAGGAATCCCTAAGCCTGATCCACAGCGCTGCAGTGTGTGATTGGGAACATTACAAGCAAGATCAAAGACACAGACGTCCTGAACAGACTCCTCTAGAGCAGCCTTTCTCAAACTTTTTTCAGTCGGGGCACCTTTCAAAAGTGCATAAAATCTCAAGGCACCCCAGTGTAAAATATAAATTAAAAACACTGCATAACCCAAATGTAAATGCAAATGTCCTGTTTATTTAGACAGAACAGTAATGAACAGAGCATAATACGAACTGTAAATAACAATAACAATAACAATAATAATAACAACTTTACAGGGCTATCACTTTTGTGAAAAAATCCTGATCGATTTTTGAGACATAAACGTTCATTGAATCGATTGTAAAATCGATTTTCCATGTCTAAAGACGTTTCCATTTTCAGCGCCAAATATAGGCAAATCCACGGACAACTAACAGGCATTAGCACGAGCGTAAAGAGTGCGCTTGAGACGCGCACAAGTCAGCAATATTTCTGATGATTTATTGGCATGAAGTTTCGTGCACAATGACAAACAGGAGTGCAAGATTCTCGAAAAACAATAAGCAGAGTGGACTGCCATAACATCAATGAAAAACATTACTGCAGGCTTCAACATGGCTGTGTTTACGATTAGAAATGTCAAACAAATTTCACCTACGTAGGCGATTGTAGGCCGGATCTGTATCTGTATGCATGGGACTGTCTGAATACCGGCAGAATTCACATTTTTGTTGTAAAAAGAGACACGTTATGCAGAAGTATAGTATAGTTTGTATGTGTGTTTGTCAGAGCCTGCAGTTGCTGTGTGACGCGTGTTCGCGCGGTCAGTGTTGTTGCTATAACGCGGTGCTATGGGTTGCGTCACTTGCGTCAAGTTGTGTGTGTGTCTTGCTTCGGTCTTGTGAGACGGATTTTTATGGTTAATTTTATATATATATATTTATCTAAAATGAATGTACAATTTTATTAATACGTTCATATGTTTAAAAAGAAGAAGAATGTATTTATGTAAATTCAAATATATATATATATATATATATATATTTTTAGCCTACGTAATTTTTTGGCGGCACCCCTGACAAAGTCAGGGGGCACCCCAGTGTGCCGCGGCACCCACTTTGAGAAAGGCTGCTCTAGAGGATATGCGCTTCTGTCAGAGACACAGATGATCTGAGCGCACTGATGATTGAACGCATTCGTGCTGGTGATAATTAGCCAGCCATAACACATCAAAACAAGAGATAAACACTGTTAAACATTGTTCAAACCACTGATGGGAGGGTGAGCAGATTCTAGATGTGTTTCCTGCGGTGTCAGCAGTTTCAACCACAACCATATTTTGCATTTTTAGTAGTAATAATAATAATAATAATAATAATTATTATTATTATTATATTAATTAGTTTCTAATTGTTCTTTTATCTAACAACAATTATTTGTATATTAGAGCAACAATAATAAAATAATAATAGGCTATTGTATTATTATTTTTTCCTTTAAGAATTATTATTCTTATCATTATAATAATTACTTTATTATTAAATAATAATTATATTATATTAACAAATAATAAATTATTATTATCAATTTATTAATTCTATGTATTCAACATTATTATTATTAATTAGTAATAATAGTTTTATCTCATTTTTTATTTTATCTAACAATTATTGTTATTATTATTAATATATTATTTTCATTTTAGATTATTATTCATTTTAGATTATTATATTATTATACTAACATTTTTCTTATTATTATTACCATAAACAATTCAAATAATTGTATAAAATAATTGTGAGAATACCACAAGTAACTGCTACAGCAAAAATTCCCATAACAAATCTATGTCTGTCTCTGACACAAACGGAATACTGTATCTCACAAAAAAATGTGTCAGGAAGGAAGATTTACACGGCTGCTTCACAAATCGCATAATTATACAACACTAAAAATACGTATTTCACAATTGATGGTAATGTACCTACTTTTGAGTGTATGTTAAGACAGTATGCCATTACTGCAACATACTATAACATCATAAAGATGTGTCTTTATACCATCATTCATTATGTAAAAAATGGTCTCAAACTCCTCTGCGCAAGGTGTTGTTGGCAATATCAGCCCAAAAAAAAATGTAATTGAAATCTTGCATACTATTTACCATAGGTAGTATACGAATAAGGATCTGATCTCCTGGACAATAGACATGCCTTACACATTTTGTTAATGATATTATAGTGTTCTCAACAGGATACAACATGTGCATTTCTGTTTATAGAAAAGGTGGAGAGGGTATCTGAGGAGAAAGTATGTGGTTGCTTCTCTGGTTGGTTTGGCTACAATTTCCTTCCCATGTGTGTGTGTGTGTCCCAGCTGTAGCAGAGGGCAACTCAACTTGTGAGCGGAAGTTAAATTTAGAACTCTTATTTACACACCACTGCTGTCGGCCCCGCCGGGCACATCACACACACAGAATGACTGCAGACGCATATCTGAAACAGCATCCATACACACACAAACACAAGCACACACACACTCTCTGTCAGAGCGCATATTCCCGCCCGTCTCTCTGTGGGCAGGAAATACTCAGAGAGACGTCCTGGAACAGACTGACGGAATGAAAGGCTGACTCAGCCGCGGACACACAGAGAATAAGAACGAGAGCAGGAAGGAATTGGAGAGAATGGAGGAGAAAAATCAAACAACTGGAGTTCAAACATGTGGCTATGACAGCCAAGATAAGCACATACACAGAGCCACATCGTTGGGCAAAACATCCGGGATGAACGAAGAGCTAAAGGCATTCGGTTTGTTTTGAGTGGACAAATTGAGTGTATTAAACACCCATGCATGAAAAGAGAAGAGTCCACTCAAACAAGAGCTAAACCAAAAGTCTATAAATGCCTGACGACCAAACTCTTGTGCTTGAATTTGGCATAAAATGGAAGATGTGAAAGTCTTTTCTTTCCTTTTCTACTCCAGATGAAACTGCTTCTCGCACAAGAAAAAAATATAGGGCGGGAATTGATTGGATCATTAGATGGTTGAGGTTTGCTGTTTCTGTGATCTAATGTGATTGACAGTTTGACCCGCCCTTGTGGCGATGACATCATCAGAGAATTAATGTTGTTGCAAGAGGGAGGGGAAGTTATTTTGATTCAAGAATACGAGGGCACATGAATAAAAAAAAAAAAATGATGTGCATGAATAAATCATTTATAATAAATACTGCAATATTCCATAAAAAACAAGAATTGTCAATTTTGATTTCATGGTGACTTTAATTTCAAAGACATTAATCCTTTCCTTAAGGTTAGCGACACATTAGCGAAATTTCAGTGAAATTTTCAGGAAAAAAAGGTGCATTGTCCATTGTCAACCAAGCAGCTTTCTGTTAGGCTGTGCGGCAAATTCACGCGACCACCAACACGAACGTTACATAAGCGAAATCTGCTAAATCTTTTTTCGCCCTCACGCGAAACTCCCGGTCGTGCAGATTATGGCTGGATTTTGAAATTTCACTGAGCAATGGTCACTGTGACCGCACATTTAGGATGGGATTAGAGTGGGTGGACCAAAATAATGATAATCAACTAAATGCTTACATTTTCTGAAGAAATTGTGAAAAACTCGCATCCCCTTTTAAGTAGGGATGCATTCAGCTCCAATACTACCCTTCTTTAGCAGATCAGGTATCGGTCAGACCGATCAAAATCCAGTATGGTGCGTACTATTCTGTGTTATTGTTAAGCCCCACAAAAGGCCTAAAAACATTATAAATCACCTTCAAGTTTTTGTGCACTACATTCCAAGTCTTCTGAAGCCATTTAATAGCTTATTGTGACGTACAGATATAAGTTGTTAAATCAAAGTTGTTAAAGGCTGTCTGTCATTTTCCATTCACCATTCAAACAGCGCCTTGCGTTTGGTTACGACAGTCAGCACGGTTAAACGCTCTTCAAGATCATTCAATATTCCCATTATTATCCTTGATTTGTAGATGAAGGTCTGTGGTTTTGCATAAGAGGACTTTATCTTGCTGGAGTTTATTGCCGTTTCTAAATCATGTGACTTGCTACCGGACGTCTGTTAAATCATAAAACTGGTGTAGAGAGAACTATGAAATGTTTAAAATTGTTAAAAGAAAAGGCTCAGTAAACTGTTGCATAGATATAACACGCTACACATCAATATCTCTTCCCCGTAATGCGCACACATCTCTTCCCCACGCTCTTGAGTGTTCTTAAGTGCAATTTTTTTTTATTCTTAAGTTAAATTCTTAGGAATTCTTAAGTGATTCTCAAATATTTTCTTCAACATACCTTCTGATGTTCATTCATGTTTATTTCATGCTATAACTAGAATTAAAGTGAAAGAGATGACAGGATCGCTTGAACTGAAGTGGTTACAGCATTGTCGCACCACATTAAAGACTGTTAACACAACATTGTTCGATTATGTTATGAAATTGACTTTTTTTTTCTTAAGAAGAACATTTCAGGTTTGGGTGTTATCTGATTGTATGACGGTTCATGCTGAAGACGCGCTGATCAACGATTGCTCTGCCAGGAGATTACCGCAATACTATTAATATGCGAACACACTATTTTCATTCCGACTGGCTTGACAGGAGTTCAGCACTTTTTATGCTCTGTGTATTTTAAATAGATAGTTTGTGTGGAATGCTGGAGAAAATTATGTTATATTATAAAAATATCAACTGTAGTTGCTAATG